CAAAGCAAAGAGAAATAAACATATTAGGCATCTAGTAGAAACTTGGGGGTAATAAGATTCTAGGCAATGGTTTTATTACTTGTTAAGACTACTTCGTTAAACAATTTGCTTGGTTCCTTAAGTCCACCAATTTTATTGTTTAATGCTTTTTAAATGCCAAAAGCTTGGGAGATCAAGGTTATAAAATATGTCAACACAACTTAGACCTCTTAGATCAGGAATTATACACTCAATTTTTTATGTAAAAATTCACCCTAGCCTCTTTAAATTCAAATTGTCTTTAATGAAGGATGAAATTTTTTATATAATGAATTTAGTCTTTTGAGTATTACTAAATGAAGATGCTCATTTTGGATTTCCAGTTGCATTTTAGACTCAGAGAAGATGAAGGCCTTGTCAAAGGAATGATAGTATGAAACAGGTGACTTCTTAAAATTAAGTGTTTCTATGGCTGGAGAGATGCCTTGGTGCATATGTTGACTGGGTGCTTTGCTAAAGGACACAGGCCAAATTCCTAGATTCTTTAAGTAGCCCATAAACATATGTAACTAGAGTTCTGGGCTTCTGAGGGCACCAGATAAACAGTATATAACCAAGCACTTATACACATAAACCACAATTTTTTTTAAATTACAAAAGATAAGAGCATTACTTTTTTTTTTTTTGGTTTTTCGAGACAGGGTTTCTCTGTATAGCCTGGGCTGTCCTGGAATTCACTCTGTAGACCAGGCTGGCCTCGAACTCAGAAATCCACCTGCCTCTGCCTCCCAAGTGCTGGGATTAAAGGCTTGTGCCACCACTGCCTGGCCGAGCATTACATTAAAAATTTAAGTATCTCTATAAGTGAACATGATTATTCAGAGATTTCTAACAGAGAGCTTAGATTTTTTCATGTTTATTTTTCTTCTAGAATTAATGTCATTTCCTATAATATTTCATATTTTTTTGAATAGCAGCTTTTCTATTTTTGTTATGTCTTGTGAAATTAAAGGGGAGCCTGGCATTGTGTTGTATGCATGCTATAGTACTAAGGAGTTGGAGGCAGGAGGATCAGAAGTTCAAGGCCAGGCCTTGGTACCTCCCCTTGAGCTGGATCCCACTTTGAGCCTATTGCTGGATCTTCTTTTCCTCAGGCTCCTCTCCATTTCCATCCCTGCAGTTCTTTCAGACAGGAACAATTATGGGTCAGAGTTTTGACTGTGGGATGGCAACCCCCCTCACGCAACTGATGCCCTGTCTTCCTCCTGGAGGTGGGAGCTATAAGTTCCCTCTCCCTACTGTTGGACATTTCATTTAAGGTCCCTCTCTTTGAGTCCTGAGAGTCTCTCACCTCTCAGGTCTCTGGTACATTCTGGAGGCTCCCACTAACCTCCTACCACCTGAGCTTGCCTGTTTCCATTCTTTTTGCTGGCCCTCAGGGCTTCAGTCCTATTCCCTTACCCAATACCAGAGCAGGTTCCCCTCAACCCCCACGCCCCACCCACGTCCACTTTCCCTCCTTGGTCCCTCCCTCCCTCCCCCCTTGTGATTGCTTTCTTCTCCCTCCCAAGTGGGACTGAGGCATCCTCACTTGGGTTCGTTAGCTTGTTGACCTTTTTGAGTTCTGTGGACTGTATTAAGGGTATTCTGTACTTTTTAATTGGCTAATATCCAATTTAGGCTATGTGAGTACATAGGAGGATCAGCAGTCTCAATTAACCTGGACTCCTAAGAGCTCTCAAATACTGGACCACCAACCAGGCAGCATACACCAGCTGATATGAGGTCCCCAAAGCATATCCAGTGGAGGACTGTTGTGTCTGAGTTCAGTCAGAGATGATGAACCTAACCCTCAAGAGACTAGAAGCCCCAGGGAGTTTATAGGTCAGGTGGGGTGGGAGGTGAGGTGTGGGGACATCCTTGAGGAGACAGGGGGCGGGGAGGAGGGTTGACCAGGAAGGAAAAAAATTTGGGAAAAAAAAGTATAACTCAAAAAACAAAACAAAACAAAAAAACAAAAGTTCAAGGCCAGTCTAAATTGTAAATTAATTTAAGGGTAGCCAGAATACATGAAAGCATGTCTCAAAACAAGTTTAAAGTTTAAAAGAATCATTTTTAACACAGATAGAAGTCTATAGCTGAAAATTACATACAGTTGGCTTTGGCTGCTATAATTCCCTATAGGACCAACTACGGTATCTTAACAATTATTCATTAGCTTGTCAGGCTTTCTCTATTATTGATCCTGGATTACTAAAGTTTCCCTTTGTTCTGCAAAGCTCTAGCATCTACCTCTTAGGAACCCACTGTTGTCTTATTTTCTTCTACCTTCCAGATTTGGTTTTGTAGAAAGAATGGAGTCATTATTATAGTTCAGCTGAGATGGTAGAGGCCCCAAACTAAAATAGTGTTCATAAGGTTAGAAAAAAATTGACTAAGACAAAACCATTTCAGAAGTAGCATTATTGCGCAAGAACATACCCCATAATTACCTGAGGCCATTTAGCCTCTTAATACTTCACAATTTTAATGCTCATGTAAAATCTTCTCCAAGGTTTATTTATCAAATAAACTGTTGCACATATTTGTTTTGTTGAGAGAAAAATCTGCTGGAATGATTAATAGTTATGAAAACATCTTTTTAAGTTTTGCCAATGCATTTAACAACTTTTTCAAAGCTTTATTCCTATATTTTTAGTATATGAGTATAGAATGAGGATAAACAAAACAAATATTTATTGAGTGCCTGAGTAACATATTGTTTATTAAAAAATACACACACAGACTGAAGCAGCAGGAAAGTGACAGATTTAAAAGAGAAAAGTATTTTCTATAATTCATTTGGAGCTATGAAAGTTATTGAAGAAAAATACTTGTCTCAAACACTTTTCCAACAGCTGAAATTAATTTTTATATTGTATGGCAGTGACACATATAAAGCTCACTGGTTTTGAATATTCTATTCAAAATATCTCAAAAGAAAGAACAAGTATTTGTGCAGTCAACTATTTGAACTAGTCGAGTGACTGAAGCATAAAGGAGAATAAACAAAAAAGATGTTTAGACAGTGCATAAATAAGGAATTGAGTTTCTTCCATAAAACATTCAATTTGAATTTATGGGTTGTTAATTAATCTTTCCTTTTTGCCATTTTTAAAATTGATGAAATCTCAGGGAAAGGAACTAAAAGGACAGTCTGCATTATGTATTTGGAGAGGTATCCATATATATATATATATATATGTATATGTATATGTATATGTATATGTATATGTATATGTATATGTATATGTATATGTCTTGAATACCTTCAATATACTCAGTAGCTGAATGATACACAATATAAATATTTATAATGAATAGAGCACCATTCCATAGATATTGCCAGACTTCTTTTTCCATCACATGAATGTGATAATTTTGAAAAAATCTTAATCTATAATGTCAGCTTCTTTTCTTTATTTCTGTATTTTCTATCTTTCAGAAGATAGCTCTGTCTCAGGAAGATTTTTATCTTTGGTTTGTGCATTTTGTTTATGCTATACATTGCCAAATAGATCTCCTAAGATGAAACTCAGAGCTCATTTGGAAGTCATTTTTGGTAGCACATGAATCAGAACTCTTATTTTCTTCTCAGCACTACTGGTATTTTATTGCTTCTATCTCTAGTCCAATATGCTTTTAGCGCTAAGAACCCTGAGGCCAAACACACAAAACACTAAGAAAATGGGAACTTCTAGCGATTCTAATTTTTGTCTCTCTTTCGGGGTTCTTCACTCTCCTGAGGGAGTGAAATCACTTTAAGCTCACCATGAACCAGGAACATGGTGAGCATCAGTGATTGACTGAAGCTAGTGATGTTGATTTATGAGTCTTTGAATTATAGGTCAGCTATAAAACCCTTAAACATGCTTATCAAAGTCTACTTGTCAAACTCCTATGGATTTTTCCAGACTCTGCTTAAATGTCAACATCACCATGAAGGCTTCTCTGGCCACTATAGGCAATATTAGGCATGTTCTAGTTTGTAACTGTATCCTAACCTGTTATTATGACTGGACACAGTAAATTCTAATACTTATACATGTCTATGTTCATGGAATAAAGAAAAATTATTTTCTTCCGTTTATTTCTGGCTCAGCACAACAAATCAAGAGGATTCTCAATAGATAACAGAAAGAATGGTTAGAGAGTAAATAATAATATTGTTTATCTAGACTTTATAGGTTACAGGCAATTAATGTTCAAAGAGGTTACATGAACAATCCAAGTTCAAGACTGGCAATACATTGCACACCAGTTTGCAGGCCAGTTAAGTTACCCACAATCAAAGATTAACATTATATTGAAATAAATAAGTTTTAACTGTGTCTTATAATAAAAGTTATTTAAAACTTTTAAGTTCTTTACCTCTGCAACTTTTCATTTAATTATTGAGATCTATAATTGCCCTGAACTGTGGAAAACAAATTCACAGATAAGAGTGTTCCATGTGTGTTTATGTATCCATATTACACATAACTTTTACATTTTGAAAATGATTTGATTAATTTTTCTGAGCTCTTATTGTTAGCAGAAAAATTAAATATATATCTTCATTAAGGGTCAAAGAGCAACCTCAGCATTCATTTTCAGCAAAGACATGAATGGCAATTATAGTATTTATAAAAGTTTAGTGTAGTTTGTACTATTTCCAGAGTTGCTGGTTTAACTGATTTGTGTCTCAAGAACTAGTAGGAAGTAGTTCCTTGAAGACTTTTCTCATCTCACAAATACTCTAAGTCCTACTCCAATTGAACCAGTTTATGGGCAATATCAATGATTAACAGAGTCCCATTTAACAAATAAGTTGGTGACAGAAACACTCCTCAAATGACAATGTTTTAACTGACCTTTCTGCTGTGGCTAAAGATTTATAACATGAAGTCAGTAGATGTATTAGATGTATAAAGATTTCAGTACAAGTAAAAAACAAAGAAAGAAACAACAGGACTCACCATGTTTTAAAATATGTTACTCACCAAAAATAGGGTTCTGAAGGTGTTGAGATCACCAAAAAAGTCTTCTATGATTACTGTGTTCGGGTCAAAAATGAAGTATTCTCCCAGATTTTCATAAAGCTTCAACATATTGCTGTGCATGGTGGACAGTTTTTCATACTGCTCTCTGGCATTCTGTGCAAAGCTGTAATTTTGCATTAAGGAATATTATCTGATAATATTTAAGAAGCAGCCACTAGATGTTAAGACTTATTAAAACCACTATATATGTAAATATATTTGTTTGTCAGAACTGCCATTATAAAGTGCCACACACTGGGTGCTTTCACCAACACAAACTTATTTTCTTCATAAATTCAGAGGCTCGAATTCTGACTGAAAAATAATGGAATATTTAGTTTCTTATGCAGCCTCTTTCCTTGGCTTGCCGATTGTTGCCTTCTTCTTGTTCTCATATAATTGTTCACTAGTTTTGCCACGTGTGTTCAAATAACCCTTTCATAGAAGGCCAACTGTCACATACTATTAAGATCTAACTTAATAATATTTGAAACTGAGCTGAAAGGGTTTGCGACCCCATGAGGAGAGCAACAGTACCAACCAGAGCTCCCAGGGTCTAAATCACCAGCCTGGGAACACTTAGGGAGGGACACATGGCTCCAGCTATATACAAAAGGGAGGATGGTCCTGTCAGGTACAGGTGGGAGAGGAGATCCTTGGTCCCATGAAGGCTGGAAGCCCTGTGTATGGGGGAATTTGAGGGTGGGGAGGTGGGAGTGGGGGGTAGGTGGGGGCACATCCTCATAGAAGCAGGAGGAGGGGGGATGGGATAGGGGGTTCCTGGGTGGGAGGGGGGAAATGGAGTAATGGTAGAACATCTGAAATGTAAATAAAATATCCAACAAAAAATATTTGAAATTAATTGCCTCCTTCAAGAACCTTTCTTCAAATATAGCCATTTTGAAGCTCTTCTAATTTTTGAGAAAGTTGGCTGTCAATATGTAAAGTATGAAGCATGTAATTTGTTGCAGAAGTTTCTACTATCATATTGCTTACCTAATTGCTTTCAATTAGACAGAAATATTTAATGTACAACTATGTAGAATGTTTGTTAGAATGTGTTTTCTAAATTAAACGACATAGGTACAAATATATCAGAAAACCACCTCTATTACTATAGCATGAATTTATTACTTGTGTGTATATATACATGTATACACATACAGAAATACATACAAAACATATGCAGCTAATATTAAGAGGGAAGGAACAGGAGGAAAAATGGTCTCTCTGACCTTCCTTTTACCTTTTTCCTCTATAGCAGCACAAAAAAGAATTCCTTGAGTTACCTCTTGAATAGGCCCTAAGACCCTCAATCCAGAGATATTTATTCTCTATGTTTAGGAAAAGGATGTCATTGCCTCTGAAGGACATATACAAAAGTATCCAAATGTGTCTCATTAAATTCCTCCCAATTTACACCTTTTTTTTTTCCTTACTCATGATTCTCCATGACTGTACATTCTTCATCAAACCTATGCTTAAATATATTCTGATCCAACCTTGGCATTTTTATTTTTGTCATATGTAATATCATATAAAATGTAAATAGCAGTTGTGATGGCTCATACTTGTAATCATGCATGGAAGTCCAAATACAGGTGTAAAATTAAGACTACATGTAATATTATATATATTACTTATATATATATAATATATAAGTAAAGAATATATATGCATAAATACATAATATATATGTATGTATATGTACCAAATTCTGTTTTAGAACTATTGAAGATAAATTGAAAAATGCACATTTTATGACTAATAAATATAAAACCATAAATATGTTGGCTAAATTTTCAAAGTATGGCATAAGTATGAGAAATATTTTAGAGTACTTGCATTTGCTCTTTTTATCTTTGGCTAGGTAATTGTTATATGCTAATTCATAAGAATGATTCAGAGAAAAATTACAGGAAAAATTATGAGAAAGTACAAAGCCAAATCAACATTGAAAAATTAGAGTTAAGTTCATTACAAATGACTAGTGATCACAAAAGTAAAACTGTAACATAGGTCTAAATTTATTTTCAATAGGAATATAACTTTTATTTTTCTAGTGGAAGCAATGAAGAAATCAGGTCATTTCTGGAAAATCATTCTGTAGCTGACACTTACAGTACATACTATGATTTTGAAAATGAGCTGTCATTTATATCTGGTCTTTTTAATGCTACTTACCTCTCTGCTAACAAAAGTCATTAAATCATTCAACCCTCAAATCTATTTTGATATTAACAGACCTGAAAGAATGAATACTTTTCTGTTTTTTACCATAAAATACACATGCTTCATATACATTTTGATTTTTATCACCATATAATTTTTACTTTTAAGATTATGTTCAGATATTAAACATCCCATTTCAGTGGAGCAGAAATAAAACACTATTCTTTATTTCTTTGCACAGAATTAAAATGATAGTTTTGTTTCCTTATCTCCCCACAAAGAAAAAAAAATACAGATTCATGCCAGAAACTTACTAGGCAGAAGCATTTTGCAAAGGTCACTCTTATATGCAATCTATTTACAATGCAAATTACAAAAATTTATATTTCAGGATGTTCAACATCTGTAAACCAGTGAAAAAGTTAAAGCTAACAAGAAAGGCAAAGTTCTTATATGCCTCATTTATCTTAACATACTTTTTTTGGAGGCATAAACATGTTTGTGTAGTGATATACAATTTTACCAATTTGTTTTTACAGGCCAAAAATGATTTCCAAAGATCTGTGTTCCAAAGTGAGAAGATGCATAAGTCAATGGATAGTTTATCTTTGTAACAGCAAATAGGAAAGAGCCCAGTCTGAGTCTTATATTTACCTCCATAGTTATTATTCTCTAACAGTTTTTGTTCTCTAAGAGAGCGAGAGCAATTGCAGCCCTGAAAGAGTTCCCAATCGCAATAATGCCATCAAATTACATGGGATTCCACATAAAATGCAACAACAACAATAACAAACAAACCAACAACAAAATAAGACAAAACTGAATATGTTAAGCATGGTGGCACATGCTTGGATGAAGAAGCTAGTTGATCTCTTGAAAGCTAGCCTGGTCTACAAAGATAATTCTAAGGTAGTCATAGCTATATAGTGAATCTATGTCTCAAGAACAACAACAACAACAACAAAAAAAACAAACAGAAAAAGAAAACTAAAAGTAAACCAAAAGAGAAAAAGAGAAAGAATGAGACTATACAGCTCTTTCTGTACAATCATGATTTTATTTTACTTATGAAAGTTAATTGTTGATTTCCCATTAATGAACGTAAGCTATTGTTTGATATGTGTTAGTGACACAATAATGACTAAATCCTTAATTTCTACCCCGAAGAAGGTAACAAATTAATATTGCAGATAATTATGCTATCCTCAATTGACAGCTGTATGTCACTAAACACTTACAATGTATCTTAATTCCTATTATGTTTCCTTTTTTTTAAATAACTTTTTTTTCTCAAAGGCAATGAAATTCCACTATGATAGTTTTAAACTTGTGGGCATTAAAGAGAAGTTACTCTTCCTTCCAAGGTTAGAATATAGTAATAGCCTCTGACATGAGGGTTAGCCCTTTTTGTATGCTAGAATTAAAAGTTAAATTTGATTGTTAGGAGTTGATTAAGTTTACATATTTGGATCTGAATGTTGACGTTGTCCCAGTAAATACTTGGGAGGAGTAAACAAACTCATCCAAGTTGTTCGCAGATGTCTTTAACACATATTATGTTTCTACATTCTCTACTAAATGAATAAAATATAGTAAAAAAATATATTTTTGTGTGACTCACACAATCCTAGCTCCTAGGGAGGCTGAGACAGAGACAGGTCCAAGGTCAACTGGGGGAACTTTGCCAGCTTCTATTTATTTGTAATTTAAAGTAAATATCTCCTTAACAGATATGTCTATTGAGAAAGTAAGAAATGTAGTTACTTAGTAGAGATCTAAACCGTTCTTCTTACATATGATTATTTTAGATAAAGGATAACAGATTTTAGAAAATATGCTGTAGAATCCTGTGAATGATTTGACTAGGACAGAAAGTCTGTTCTAAGCTGGGTTTTTTGAACACCCAAAGAGGAACAGATGGCCCTTTTCAGAGCACAGACGAAAGGCTGGTGATAGGCACACTGTGTAACTAAACTACAAAGTCTACCATAGCATAACTCTCTCAGGTACCAATGAAGAGTGGCAGCACCAAGGGCACCTGGTCCTGAAAGCCTAGATACATTGGCTTGGATGCCACCGAAAAGTGAGCATAGCTCTAACAACATTAAAGAGTAGGGTTCTGTAAGGATTCAATTCTTTTGGGCTCAAAAGTTAGAAGGTTCCTTTTTATCCATTAAAAAATCCTAGACTATTAAGAGAAGAACCCAGGAAAGGAATGAACTTTTCTATGATGGAGTTAATTCATGAAAATTTAAATGGCACATTAAATATATTCATAAGGTAGTGAGGTAGAGCAGATCCAAAACATAAAGTAATAAAGTATGAGAGGGTGAAAAAGTGATTATGAATCCCTTTGTTTCAGCAGTACCCTTTCCAAGTCCTTGTATAAAGAGAACAAACAACAAAAACAAACAAGCAAAAAACCCAAACCCCTTCTGAATTTTTAATCATGAACTTAAGAAGGTGAGCACTGAAACTGTCCAAGCTCTTCTGCACAGAAGTGTTCTTTGAAGGATTTAAATGTATACAGCATTTGAAGACATTAGCAGTTGAGATGCTAACCATTTTGGTGTATTACTAATCTAAAAACTAAATGGATCTCAATCATGAATCTAAAAGTTAATTTATAAAACATGCATCATAAATCCACAAAGCATTTTCATATTAACTTGTTGAAACTGAATATGTACATGTACATGTATATGTATGCATATGTCATATACTTTTGTAGTAAACACTATGGAGTTAAAATCCAATCTGAAAAAAAAATCTATGTTTCCTCCATAGTGCCTATATGGAAAGAAAATTATTTTCTTTATACTTCTATGTACATTTTATGTTTGTTTAAAAGCAGCTACACCACCCGGCAGTGGTGGCACATGCCTTTAATCCCAGCACTTGGGAGGCAGAGGCAGGCGGATTTCTGAGTTTGAGGCCAGCCTGGTCTACAGAGT